CAGATAGCGCACAACATTATATAATATTACAATATGTAATATAGCCTATTATATATATATTATGATGATATGTTAATGATGAAGCGCTAATGTAAGTAATAAATAACGTAATATATTCTAATATGGTTATTATATTTATTTTATTGGCATATATAACAGTTATCTGTATAAATGATAAAACACTATGACAAGGTAATGTTTAATTTATTATATTATGTATATTTATTTATTACATTTTATATTATCATCTCACACATGGATCGGCATTTTTTATTCAAAAAGGCGGGGCATAGAGGAGAAACAATAATGTACAGTATGTGGAAAATAATGTTTTTTTTTACTTTAAACAGCATAAACACATTTCATTACACCAAATACACCAAATAATGTTCTTTTTAGCAGCATCATATGACCCCTTTAATATATAATTAGCATCAAACAAACAATGTAATTCATATTCTCAGGGCTTAAAGATTAAACAGCGTCCGTTTCCATAGCGACTCGTCGATTCGTCGCTCTGTTGAGAATGTCTTGAGTCTAAACCAGGAACATACTCTGAGTTGAATGAACGTACTCCCGGACACGTTTTTGGAACCACATACCTCGAGTAAGCATGGTTTGGGGTTAATCAACCGAAAGTTCAGGGTTTAGCTGACCTTGAAGTTTCTTTCCTCGTCAGGCCAGAAACTCAGAACGCTGTATCTGCTGCTGTCTCTCTGGATGTACCGGAGACTCAGAACAGTGTATCTGTTATTGCCTCCTCACACACAGGCTGGAAACACAGAACAGGGAGTGTTTCTGTTGCTGCCTTCCCGGTAACAGGACTCCGACTCAGAACAAGGAGTGTCTTTTGGGAAGGTACCTTTATCTCTAAAACAAAAAGTGGATCCCATTGCAAAAAACAGAAAAATCCACATTCAGGCACTCACATAGCAAGCAAAGTAAAAAGCCTTTCATTATAAGACAGGGCTACATATTAAAAACACCAACGTGTATCAGCCCAAGCAGGCCTTCATCAGG